ACGTTTTTAGTGATGCATCCGAAGACTACAATCGCCCAGAAGGGAAAGTTTGTGGCTGGCGAGACTACTAGTCCAGCGCCACAAGTTACCAGGGCTTGGGAGGGTCTTATAAGGAGATTCCGTCTCAGATTTCACATACCCCGCCTTTTCCAGAAGAGCTCTAAGGGGAACCAACTCCAGCACCCGCCTCTCTACGTCTAGCTCCTCAACTAGATGTACTGGGTTTGGAGATGAGAGATGTTATTCATGAAGTAGGTATTGGTCATGCAGATAGGTCCGTGAGTGTGAGGGTTCATGAGTTTAATAATTTAGACCCTCCGGTATTCACTGGAGAAGATCCAAATGACTCTTAGGTATTTATTGATAGAGTGTAGAGGACGTTACGGGTAATGAAGGCCACTGCGACTGAGTCAGTTGAGCTACCTTCCTACAGACTCTAAGATGTTGCAGTTAATTGGTTCGAGTCTTGGGAATTGTCCAGAGATGAGGATTCCCTTCTAGTGGTATGGCAAAAATTTACAGAAGCTTTTTTCATCATTATCTGCCACCAAAGCTTAGACAAGCCATAGTTGATAGGTTCTTGACCCTTCAGTATGGTAACATATGTGTTCGGGAATACAGTCTTCTGTTTGATTCATTGGTTGGGTATGCTCCCACTATTGTATCTAAGATGGATGATCGGGTTCACCGGTTCATGATGGGATTAGAGCCTCACTTGCTTAACGACTGTATGTCAGTCTCACTTCAGCTAGACATCGATATTTCTATTATTCAGGCATACGCTTATGGTATAGAGGAGCATAAATAGAAAGAGGGGGCCAATCGTGAGCATGATAGGGCCCAGAATAAGAGAGCAACGTCTTCGGGTCCTTCTAGTGAGTTTTGAGGTGGTCAGAGATAGCAGCACCTAAAATATCTAGCACAACCATCGGCTGGCTCACCCCCTAAGTTTGGCGATAAGCGATTTGATCATTCCACATATTCAGGGCCTCAAATTCTCAGTGTAGGGGTGAGTCAAGTCAGATGGGTCCGCCCTTGCCACAATGTACTCAGTGTGGTAAGAAGCATTTCGGGTAGTGCCGTAAGGATTGGGTGTTTGTTATATTTGTGGTTATCCGGGCCATGTTATGAGGGATTGTCCGACAAGAGGTGATGCAAGTATAGCTCAACCAACAAAATCTGTAGCTGGTTCATCATCATCAATACGACCCCTGGGCATGGTTCAAAAGCACCAATGAGTCACGGTAGAGGCGGAGGCGGAGCATCTAGCTCTAGCGGTCCTCAGAACCGCATTTATGCATTGGCAGGACGACAGGATCAGGAGTCATGCCTGATGTTGTTACAGGTATATTATCAGTCTCCTCATATGATGTATATGCACCAATTGACCTGGGTTTAACCTTATCATCTGTTACTTCGTTGGGTGCTAGTAAGTTTGAAAAAAAACCTGAATTGGTTAAACCTTTAGAGGTGTCTACACCTGTTTGGGACTCAATGATAGCTAAGCGAGTATATAGGGGTTGTATAATAGTAGTTCATAGTCGATCTACCGTAGCGGACCTAATCAAGTTAGATATGGTAGAATTTGATGTTATCATGGGTATGGATTGGTTGGCTTCTTGTCATGCCAACGTTGATTATAGATCAAAGATAGTCCGATTTTAATTTCCATGGGATCCTGTTTAGGAGTGGAAAGGTAATACGGCATCGCAGAGAGGTATATTTATTTCCTATCTCAAGGCAAGGAAGATGATCAGAAATGGCTGTATTTATCACTTAGTTCGGGTTCAGGATATGGAAGTAGAGTCACTAACCATTTAGTCTATCCCTGTGGTTAATGAGTTTCCCGATGTTTTTCCTAATGAACTTCCAGGTCTTCCTCCAGAGCGAGAAATTAAGTTTGCTATTGAAATACTACCAGATACTAATCCAATGTTCATTCCTCACAATAGAATGGCCCCCGCAAAGCTGAAAGTGTTAATGGAACAACTAAAATACTTGCTTGAAAAAGGCTTTATTCGGCCTAGTACATCACTGTAGGGGGCACCTGTGTTATTTTTGAGGAAGAAAGATGGTTCCTTATAGATGTTTATTTATTATAGATAGTTGAATAAGGTGACGATCAAGAATAAACAACTGCTCCCGAGGATTGGCGATTTATTTGATCAGTTGTAAGGTGCCAAGTGTTTTTGAAAAAAAAAACTTGAGGTCCGGGTACCATTAGGTAAGGGTTAAGGAGTAATATATTCTGAAGACGGCATTCATAATCATATATGGGCACTTTGAGTTTCGTGTTATGTCGTTCGGTTTGATCAATGCCCTAGCGGTATTCATAGACTTGATGAACAGTGTGTTCAGGCCCTTTTTAGATCTGTTTGTAATTGTATTTATCAACGATATATTGGTGTATTCTCTTTTAGAGGTTGAGCATGCAGATCATTTGCGTATTGTGCTCAGAGTTCTACAAAAGGGGAATTTGTATGCAAAATTCTCTAAATGTGAATTCTTGTTGAACTCTGTAGCTTTCCTTTGGCATATCATTTTGGGTGAAGGCATTCGGGTGGATACACAAAAGATTGAGGCAGTAAAGACTTGGCCTAGACCCACAACACCGACCGAAGTTCGTAGCTTTCTCGGTTTGGCAGGCTATTATAGGATATTTATAGAGGGATCTTCTTCCCTTTCAGCACCTTTGTCAAAGTTGACTCAGAAGGGAGCAAAGTTTCAATAGACTGACGCTTGCAAATAGAGTTTCCAAGAGTTAAAGGACATATTAACTTTAGCACCAATTCTAACACTCCCAAAAGGAACCGATGGTTATGTTTTCTATTGTGATGCCTCAGGCATTGGGTTGGCTTGTGTACTGACGCAACATGGTAAGGTTGTAGCTTATGCTTCTAGAAAACCGAGAAAGCACGAGAAGAATAACCCGACCCACGATTTAGAGTTAGCCGCAGTTATTCATGCACTAAAGATGTAGAGGCACTACTTGTATGGCATTCATGTTGATAACTATATAGATCATAAGAGTCTCCAGTATATCTTCAGGCAAAAGGAATTGAATTTACGTTAAAGAAGATGGTTGGAGCTACTCAAGGACTATGATGTTGATATTTTATACCACTGGGGGAAGGCGAATGTGGTAGCTGATGCCCTCAACCAAAGATTGGTGGTAGACTGTTATATGTACAGCCGAAAAAAGGGGAATAGCCCATGAGATTCATCAGCTAGCTAGTCTTGGAGTTCGGTTACTAGACTCAGGTGATATTGGAATTACTATTTAGGATACGACAACATCCTCTTTAGTAACTGAAGTGAAGGAACGCCGGTACGAGGATCCTGTGTTAGTTCATTATAGGGATACCACCCCTCAGAAGGAGAAGACACCGTATGAGGTTACAGAATGGGGTCCTTTGATATCGAAGACGATTATGAGTCCCTAATGTTGTAGGGCTGCGTCAGCAGGTTATGGGAGAAACCCATTATTCTCGCTATTCTATCCATCCAGGAGTGACAAAGATGTATCATGATATCAGGGAAATATATTGGTGGGACGTATTGAAAAAGGATATAACAAATTTTGTTGCTCAGTGTCCTAACTGTCAGCAAGTTAAGATTGAGCATTAGAAACCCGGTGGATTATAGTAGGCTATGGAGATTTCAACTTGGAAATGGGAAGTATTCTATATGGATTTCATCATAGGATTACCTCGTACCCAGCGTAAGTTCGATTCGATATGGGTGATTGTTTATAGGCTTACAAAGTCAGCCCATTTTCTGACCGTTAGGACTACATACTCCGCAGAGGATTATGCAAGGCTTTATATCAAGGAGATAGTATAACTGCATGGCGTCCGTGTATCTATTATCTCGGATAGAGGAGCTTAATTTACAACTAACTTCTAGAGGTCCTTCCAAAAAGGATTGGGGACTCAAGTAAGTCTTAGTACATCATTTAATCCCTAGACAGACGGACAGGCTGAGCATACTATTCGGACACTAGGGAATATGTTACGAGCTTATTCGATAGACTTCAAAGGTAGCTGGGATGACCATCTGCCGCTTATTGAGTTCGCATATAATAATAGATACCTTTCTAGTATTTAGATGGCTCCATACGAAGCTCTTTACAGACGAAAGTGTAGATCGCCTATAGGGTGGTTCGATGTTAGGGAAGCTACGTTAGTAGGACAAGAATTGGTACAACAGGAAATTGAGAAAATTAAGCTTATATAGGAAAGGCTATTAGCAGCTCAAAGCCGTCAGAAGTCTTACGCGAATAATCGACGGCGAGACTTGGAATTTCTGGTTGACAAATGGATATTCTTAAAGGTATCACCGATGAAAGGTGTTATGAGGTTTGGAAAAAGGGGAAAACTTAGCTCTCAGTATATTGGACTATATAGGATCATACACAAGGTAGGCCAGGTAGAACATGAGTTGGACTTGCCTTCGGACTTGGAGTCTGTACATCCAGTCTTTCATGTGTCTATACTCTATAAATGTATCGGAGATCCTTCCAGAATTGTGTCAGCGACGATTTTAGGTCATAGAGCAGCTATTATATGAAGAAACTCCAAATACTACACTAGACAGACAGGTTCAGAGATTGAGAACTAAAGACGTAGCTTCGATGAAAGTACTTTGGAGAAACAACAACGTGGAAGAAATGACTTGGGAGGCCGAGGAAGACATTAAGTATAGATATCCCTACTTATTTACTCCTCTAGAGAATGGTCCGACTGAGACGTCATAACCTTAAGGTACATGTATGGATTCTTGTGTCAGTTATTGTCATTGGTCGTGTGAGGCCCTTGTCGTTATTGATGATTGTGCTCCTATGTGGCATTAAATTATTAAGTTTCTACAGGAAGAGTTGTCATGTTGTGCTTAAAGTTTATATATTTGTATGGATATTACCTCATATCTTGCTTTTGTTTCATAGGTTTAGGATGTGAAATGTGTTAATTTATGTTAATTTTATGTGTTTTCATGTGTAGGAATGATCCAGGAGCAATCGGGGGCGGAATGTGTAAAATTAGAGCCAAAACAGACGAAAACAGAGAAAGGGCATATTTCACCACCACAGGTGGCGCCCAGCCCTACCTATGGCGCCAGAAACAGAATCAAAATATTACAGCGCCGTGGAGGGCACCTGGTGCGAGCCAGGGCGCCAGTGACATGAACGTTCTCCAAATTCTCCCGGGACATGGTTATTTCGGCGCTAGACCTACCCAACACGTATAAAAGCAAGACTAAACTTATTTTTCAGGGGAGAGACGCCACTTTGGAGATATCTAACATACTTTGAAGGAGAATTCACGTGGGGGAAGACACACCACGCTTGGAGGAGGCTTCTAACTAGTTTTTCTTCTCTTCTCTTCCTTTAATTTCATAGTTTAGTAGTTCTAGAGTTTTGGGTGCTACACGAATGTTGTAGTTTAAGGCTTGAATTATTATTTATTGTTTTATCATATTGGTTTATTTATTCAATCTTGCGCGTAATTATTTGATTGCTTGATCACCAATTGAATACTATCTACGAATCTAGGATTGAACTCGGGAGAGGGAATTAATTCTACTTCCATAGGAATATAGGCGTTAGATTAGCTTGAATAGGCGAGTTGTACTTCCGGAGAAGGCTACGAGCAATATTAACCTTGTCAACCAATAAACCAGATAAATTAATTAGACGATTTAGGTGAAAAACTCAATGGGATTGTTAGCTAACCCATTTCTCTAGAATATTCACTCACATTGAATTCGTCTTTGTAATTTGGCAATTTGTTCCTTTAATCTCTTTGTTTGCTACTCTAGATTAGTTGTAGTTAGTTAATCACACTTTAAAAAATCGCTTGAATAGATTAGTTGTCTTAGTTTAATTTAGTTGATAGTTAATCACAAGTCCCTGTATGTACAATATATGGACATACAATCCTATATTACTTGTCGACCATGCATACTTGCATGTGCATTTGGGAGCAACAAGTTTTGGGCACTGTTGCCGGGGACTTAGAAATTAACTAGTCTACTAGATTAGATTTTTACTTTTTGTTAACTCAAGTTTTTTTTCCTTCTTATTTTTATCTTAGTTTACTACTTACTATCTTTGTTGATATGGCATCTTGGAATGATAATTGGTCGAATATGGGTTATTTTTATTATGGTGATCCTTCTACATATTGGGAAGGACCACACTTGTGGCAAAATTATGAATCTCAATCTTATGGGTGGAATATTTGTCATATGTGTGGTGGTTAAGGTGGACATTAGGATGGTTGGCCTAATTCTTATTATCATTCTCAGAACTCTTATTATGATGTTTCTAATAATATTTGTGAGTTTGATAGGGGTAATGAAGTGCATGATATAAAACCTGATGCATATATTAGGGATATTTTGAGGCATGTAGTAGAGCAATAGTATGAACTCAAAAAATATATGAAAAGAATGAGGGCAGCAATCACAAGAATGAATGCCAATATGGAAGAACTAAATGAAGAGAGCGAGTACCAGCACGAGGAAAATTTTGAAGAAGCAGATGTAGTGAGCCAATCTTGGCTGAAGGAACAAGATCAACTAATTAAATCTCAAGAGTTCTCCGTGATGGTCTTTCAAATATGATAGAACAACTAATAGAAGGAAGAATTGAGCTCAAGAAAGAGATAGACCAATTTGGCTCAGATATATATGACCTGCAGGCTCAATTGAATAAAAAGTTTGAGGCGTCTGATGCCCTAGAACTAATTGTCATAGATACTGGCCAACTTATGGAGTGGAAAGACGAATTTCAACAATTCAACCAAAATACTATTAATGATGCCAAGGTTGACGAAGAGTGCAAAATTGAGGACGTCAAAAATAATGCAATTTTGGAGTTGGAGCGTATTGGACCTCATTTTAAATGCTTTTCAAAATTGTGTTTGGTTGGTGACACGGGAATTGATCTAGTCGAGCATATAGAGGAGTCAATGGATGAGGAACAAAGTGTTTATATTCTGAAATTTGCCATACCAAGGATGCAGAATAACATTCCTCACTTAAGGGTCAAGAAGTGCAAGATGCGATATCTATTGCTTGGTTCCTTTATTTTTACACCACCGCCCCAGGAACATGACAGAAAAATTGATGCGAAATTGGAGGCGCAATTTATATCCTCAAAGTAGAAGGAAAAGTGATAGAGTCATGCCACGACTATAAATAAGGCGCTTGTTGGGAGGTCACCCATCCTATATTTTAATTTTTTTTTAATTTGTTTTTTATATAGTGTCAAGTTTTGTGTTGTTTTTGTTTTGCAGAGTAGGGAAGTCTGAGTACCCGAAGTTGAAGCTGAGGAGCATGTTTGAGCTTAAGTGTGAGGTCGTCCCGACCCTTAATATTGAGGATCATGTCCGAGCTAGGCCCGAGAGGGCCTCAGGGAGTATTTCTCACCCTTTTTTTTAAATATTTTCACTATGATCATGCATCGAGGACTATGGATAATATAAGTGTGGGGTGGGGAAACTACTTTCTGAAGTATACTTGTAAAAACTATTTTTTTATATTTAGTTTTTCTTTTAGAACTCGTAGTAGACATAGTCTAGGAAAAAAACAATGAAAAATGAAAACAAATATAGAAAAAGTTCGGACTCTTCCCGACGATGGATCTTTTGGATAATTTTCTTGAGGGATAAAGTCTGATTAAAATCACCAAAAAGATTTTTTTTCTTTTTATTTAGAATAGTTAGGTAGTATTCCTTGGTTTTTCTTTTGGCACCGATTCTTTTCCAAAGATGTAGCTCGAGCAGGGTACTTTATTTTTTTTTAAGAGTAGTTTAGGAAGAAACTGAGTCACACTGAGATACTTATTGACATGGTTGATGCTGGAACATTAGGCTATGACATACATTCTGTTTTCTCGTGTATTTGGTTTGAATTGTGAAGCCTAAGTAAAGTAAATAGCCTATTTTATGACTCCTTTTCTTAGTTGTTTGACTCGTATGCCACATAGTGTAATATTGCTTAAATTTCTCAATTATGTGTGCTTGCTTGACTTGAGAGTTGAATAGAACCGTCTTGATTGAGTCATGTGCAACGTGTGTGTGAGGATTTGTGGTTTTCTATGCTATTCTGTTTAGTCTAAAACTTGCCTTGTATGTTAATCGAAGCGAAATTATAAGTTTTGATAATTTAGGAGATGATGTAGGCATTTCTTTCTTGGTCATGGATGTGCTTGTCACATAAAAAAACTCCGTTGCTAGCCCCTTTGAGCCCATAAACCTTTTCTTTGGCAACCATATTACAAGCCATACTCCTATTTTGTTCATAGTTTGAGATTGATTGAAACTTTACCTACTAAGTCACTTAGTCGCTAAAAGAAGTAAGGTTAGAGATTGGGGAATAGCTTTTGAGTGAAACCATGGAAAGGCCCGTTGATGCACTAAAAGTTGAAATCAAAAGTCACTAGCCGATGAACTTTAATGTATGGAGTGTGTGAAGAAAAAACAAAAAAGAAGAAAAAGAAAAGAAAAAATGATAGTTAAAGTATGTAAAAAAGTTCACACCTCCAATTCTTAATAATTTCTGCTAGTGGGAGTATAGAAGTGCTTAATGAAAGTAAGGGCTATGTGCATATGGTTTGTGGCAAGTGAATTGGTTGAGAAGAATATGTGTTTGAATTGTGAATGTAGTGTATTAAAGTACTTACGAGGGTTAGTTGCTATTTCTAAATATATCATGCCCGTCCATTGTTGCGCCCCCTTTTTCCCTTCCCACTGGAGAGGAGTTCCGAGTTTCGACGTTCATGGGGTGTAATGACTCATTTCCTTTTGGGAATTAGGTATTTGAAGAGTCGCCACCTAACGATTTTAAGGTGCGTTAGGGCACCTATAAGGTTCAACTACAACTATGTTTGATAACTAGAGATATGGTAAGAGCTTGAAATTATCCCAAGGGGAAGGTGTTAGGCACCCCTCAGGATCCACTAGTGTGGTTCCCGGCCAGATAGTTTTTGTGAATTTATACAATTAGCAAGTAAAAAAATAAGGCTCAAGTAATAGGGAATTTTGAGTTTAAATACACAAGTGTTAGAACGCAATAAAAGCAAGGTTTTGAAAAGAGTTAAGCATACAAATAAAAGGGGTGTCCTAGGTTTGTTCGTAATATGGATCACATCAATGGAATACCCGGTATGACACTCCTCAAAAGAGGGGATACATGTGGTATTAGCGCACTTGTCATCATATCCATAACTACCCTTCCTACCTCGTGAAGGTATTAAAGTGAGGATTGGTCTCTATCTTTATTGCATGCTGTTACCCGTCCCATTCCTATCAGTCCCGGAGGAATTTAGGACTCTCATTCCTATAAGAAGGAGGTTCTAGGCTGACTCTTAGGTTTAAAGGTAAAATGCTAAGGTGACATACAAAACAATTAGGATTACATTTAGAAGGGGATACATATAAGCAACTAGAAAGCTCATGTATACCTTCGCAAATAATGCATATAAATAGCATGACTTAAACACAGTTAAGGTCTGAATTTTAGAATCATAAAGCAGGATGTTCGAATCAGAACCAGATTCATTATATAACTCAGAAAAGAAGTCTAAATCAGGCATGTCTGCTGGTTGTAGCAGTTGATAATTAACAAAGGGAATTCCAGTTTTTATTTAAGTGGTTACCTAAGGCTTGCCTAAGCGTAAACAAGACTCAGTAGTTGTTCGGAATCATTAAGATGGTTTGGAGATCATTATTACCTAAGACATGTTGTTCTAGGTGTTAAGCATATAGAATTATTGCCAGTTGGTTGTAAAGACTAAGAAAATTGTTTTATCCCTTTTTTATGCATTCATGGTTAGCCTAAGCGTGCTTAAGAGAATGTAAATGAAATCCTGAAGACATGGTATCTAATGTACAGAGATGCAGAATGATGTATATGCAGAATCCTAAGCAGGATTTCTATATGCACAAGTATTACAGTGTTTAAACATGGTTCCCAGAATATGCAGAGATGATATGTTTGTTAGTGTTATTTAGCCTAAAACAAGATCTCTAAGTGTGCATGGTAGTAGGAACATGATTGCAGAAACACTAGTTATTAACACATTTAGCACATGAATTTCTAAGTGATATGATAGCGAAATGGACATGCTGAAAACAGTATGTGTAAATCTTAAGGAGCATGATCTCTAATGCATGAAATCAGTCCTAGGCATAGTTTCTATTGCGCAAGTAGGAATGTAAACCTAGTAACATATTTTCTACTCT